AGGCGGGTCTCGAACCCGTGGGCTCAGGCAATCCACTCACCTCACCCTCCCAAAGGCGCATTCTTAAGATGGCTGGTTACACTTGTTTTCCCTCACGATAATAAATTTGTCATAAGTCTGTAACATGAACTTGCCCCTAGAGGTAGCTGTTGATAATTTTGAAGTATTATGGTCTTGCCAGGTTGTGATAATTCAAACCTGTACTACTGATTATTAAGCAGGACACGCGCTTTCTGTTGGAAATACCTTGAGGGAGAAAGTAATTTCTAAATACACAGAGATGTAACTTGACTGTATCTGTTGCATACCATACCACCTCCCTTCATACTAATATTCGACAAAGATTTTAATTTGTGTTAAACTTCTAAAGCAGAATCAAAGCTCCTCTTGGGGAAATGGCAAGTCTTACGATAAGTGAGAACCTATATGAATAATAGTACCAAAGCATTACCACGTGGTAGAGAACACACTCCATTAAAAATGTTAAACTACCTGAAAAATAAAATGTGCAAGTCTTCAGGATGGCACAAAAGAAGGGTTAATGCTTCTTGGGCACATTTCTTAGAGGGTTCGCTGAGTGTGTAAATTTTGACTTTTGTTTGTGTTACATGACTGTTTGATGACTTCACTGAAAATCTGCACAATTCAGTTTAGCTCTGGATTACTTTAGTTGACCTTTGTAAAGGTTTTTATCTGTATAGAGTGGGTATAAGACCCGTTTTAACATACTAGGGATGTTTTGTTTCACTCTATTTAAAGTAAAAGTATTAAAAGAGGTGTGTGTGAGTGGTAAGTGGGTTGGTTTTGGTTTGGCTTCTTTTAGTCAGGCTTTCTGAACATTGAGATATCCTGAACTTGGAGCTCTTCAGTTCTAAAATTCTCATTAAAATCCTCTCACTTGAACCCAAACCAAAGTATTCTTATTGCCTCTTTTCTAAATGTTCAGGGAAGGTATATCACCAGTTCAGACTTTTCATGAGAGAGAAGCATTTGCCTGCCTTAGAATGACATGACCCAGTGCTTATTTTTTAAACCGGTTTTTAAAAATTGGGTAGCTTAACAAGAAGGAGTGAGCCACCTTTTACGGGCACCCTATACTTTTATAGTTTTTAATCTAAACATTTTATATTTCCTCCTTTTGGATGACACCTACATGTTTCAAGCCACCATATGCATAGACTCTCACAGTATTTGAGGTGAATTACAAGAGTCCAGCCATTATCATCCTCCTGAGTTATTTTGAAATGGGTTTTTGTACATTTTGGCTGCAGTATTGGTGGTAGGATATATATAATATGGATCATCTCTACTTCTGTATTTATTTATTTATTACTAGGCCTCAACCACAGTCTTCTTTTTCCCTTTCCACCTTTCTTTGCCTGTAGGATGTACTGTATGTAGTCATGCACTTTGTATTAATATACTAGAAATCCACAGATCTGTTTTGTACTTTTTATACTGTTAGATACTTATAATCAAAACTTTTACTAGGGTACTGAATAAATTTAGTCTTAATAAAAAAAAAATTTTTTTAAAGGCCTGTTAAAAACAACACTTATTGGAGAATTTAATTTTCAACTTCATAGCAGATCTCTGACATTAAGGATTTAATTTTTATTTTAACTTGTAATTTCACACCTCTTAGAATTTACATATGAACACATAAATATATCATATATAACACACAAGCATACATTATGTATCATGTCATATATATGAAAAAACAGCATTTCATTGTATGAAAATACCACTTTTTAATCACTTCATCCATTGATATAAAAAGAATTCTAACAGTTTGCTACTTTCATGTTTAACTTTTTATTATGATAAATGTCTGAGATGATGAATCTATAAAGATATTTCTTTGAGATGGTCTGGGATTTTAAAACACCAAAAAATTATTCTCTTCAGAAATCTGATAGCATAATGGACACTGGAGACTCAGAAGAAGGATGGTGGGACAGACAAAAAGAATCAACTATTGGGTACAATGCGCAAGGCAAGGTTGGTAGGTAATCTAAAAGTCCAGACCAGAAACAATTTGTATCCCTCAAAGTTATTGAAACTTAAAAAATATAAAAATAAAGATAAGAAAAAAAAATCATTCTATTCAAAAATCTGAAAGATACATTAAGATATGTTCTAGTACATGATACATAATATAATTTCCACACAATTTTCATAAAACTAGTCATTCCTTTTTTTAATCTTCTTGTGAAAAACCGTACAATATTCAATTATTTTTTTGAAATGGGTCTGATAATCATTTCCCTAATTTCATTAGAAAATTGCAGTAAAAAATTTACTATGATTATAGATTAAAATGTTGTGGTTTACAATAGTTTTTCTCTTTTGTTTACATACATAAAAGGCTGGAAACATATGCATAATATCAAATTAGGCCAAGTAAAAGTCCTCAACAAATTTCAAAGTTAGACTTTCTATAGGTCATATTATCTATTCACAAGGCAATCAAATAAGAAAAGAAAAACAAAATTTGAATTAGCAATGAAGAACAAACTCTTTAGAAATATAATATAGATGAAAAAGATAATTCACAACATCATAAAACTAAGAACGCCACATTGAAAAAAATTTAAAACAGGATAAGAGAACTGCTGTCTTCTAAAGAAAATGAATATCCTGATTTGGTTTCATTACTGAAAAAGAAGTGAAACTAAGCATTCAAATAAAGCAAAATGAAAAACAAAATGAATGCAGGGGGAGAAAAATATTATAATTAACCAAAAGATACAAATGAATTAGAAAACAACATATCCAATCAATAAATAATTCCTAGACATGCCTTTTGGGGAAAAATTACTGATCTATTTATTTTATGACATTAGAATATAACAAAAACACGAAAACTAAGATCACTTATAGTTATAAAAATCCTTTCAGCCGAGTGCGGTGGCTCACACCTATAATCCCAGCACTTTGGGATTGCCTGAGCTCAGGGGTTCGAGACCAGCCTGGGCAACATGAGAAGACCTCATCTCTACAATAAATCAAAAAACTTAGCTGGGCATGGTGGCACATGCCTGTTGTTCTAGCTACTTGGAAGGATGAAGCTTAAGGATCATCTGAGTCCAGAAGGTCAGGGCTATGGTAGCCATGGGGTGCCACTACACTCAAGTCTGGGTGACAGAGTAAAACTCCAACTCAAAAAAATGTATATCCTTATAAAAGTTAGAAATGGTTATGTTAAAAAACATACTCAACCTGTTAGAATATATCCACATAACATAAGTTAAAATTTTTTAAAATATATAGCATTATATATTATCATGTATTCCATTAAGAAAACAATATGATAATCTTAAAGATGACAAAAATATAAAATTAAATACCTAAAAAAATATGTAACAACGAACTGCAGAATACACAGGTATAAACTACACCATATAATGTCATAGAATGGGAACAACATAAATATTAAATAATGAAAGCTTGTTTTATGTTGTTAATAATAAATCAAGACATGAAAATACAATGGATTATTATATCACACATAAAAAAGTAAGCTCAGTATATACTAACATTAAGATGTAATTTTAAGTCAAAAAAAAAGCAAGATACATAACAATTTATATCCTATGCATCCCTCTGTGTAAAACGACAGATAACATATTCATGGGTCCTGTATAAAATATTTCTTGGGGAAGAAAAGAAAGAACACAAAAAATAGATAACATTGACTCCACTAACACAGAGGTGCAAAGGAGAGTTTGTCCTGTAAACTCTTTTGTATTTTTAGAACTATAAAAATATTACCAATCTTTTATTTTTATTTATTTATTTATTTATTTATTTTGAGTTAGAGTCTCACTCTGTCGCCCAGACTGGAGTGCAGTGGCCGCTCCTGGCCACCGCAGCCTCAACATGCTGGGCTCTGGCAATCCTTCCGCCTCAGCCTTCCAAGTAGCTGGAACTACAGGCGTGCACTACCACGCCCAGCTAATTTTTGATTTATTGTAGAGATGAGGTCTTGCCAAGTTGCCCAGGCGGGTCTCGAACCCACAGGCTCAGGCAATCCACTCACGTTAGCCTCCCAAAGCGCAGGATTACAGGTTGAGCCACGGAGCCCGGCAATATTACCAATCTTCAAATTTAAATTTTAACAAATTCAGAGGAATGCTGGCTTCTAATTAGGTTGTACAGAAGATGCAAAAAACCATTATTCCAACCCTAACAAAGATAGGATGGCAAAAAAATATAAATGAACTAAATTCTGGAAAGTAAGTAATCCTTCCTAGAAGATAACAGACTCTAACATGCTTTCATCCCTAAAAGTGCTATAATTCAGGTGGGACATGAAAACATTACGCTAAATAAAACAAGTCAATCACAAAAATCACACATCATATGAAATTATAATTAAAATCATAAGAATAGGCAAATCTATAAAGACAAAAAAAAAAGCAGA